GTTCTTCGGTGCTCAGCCTTCTTTATGGTCTGACTCTCATATCCATACATGACTACTGGAAAGATCGTAGCTTTCACTATATGGACCTTTGTCGGCAAAGTGATGTTTTTGCTTTTTAATACTCTTGTCTAGGTTTGTCAGAGCTTTCCCTCCAGGGCACAAGTGTCTTCTAATTTCGTGGCTACAGTCACCATCCGCTGTGATTTTGGATAAGTAAACCCTCAACGTGACCAAGGGGGCCCTGCGTGGCGGGACCCCATCTTTCCATGGAGTTGCTCCGCAGCTGGTTTGTAGGACCTGTGATGAGACTGACCCCCGCTCCTCCAGAGGGCGCTGTTCCCTTGCTGTGCGCCTTCTCAGCCTAGGGAACGCCATGGCCCTCTTGCTTCTATTCGTACATGGCTCATTTACCCTTAAAGTTTCAGATTAAATGTCCCTTCCCCAGGGAAGCCTAACTTCCAGGGTTAGGACAGGCTTTCTTTTCTTATGGGGCTTCCTTGGTGGCTCAGATGGTAAAGAATTTGCCTGGAATGCAGGAGACCTGGATTCGATCCCTGGGTCAGGAAGATCTCCCCTGAAGGAGGAAATGCCAACTCGCTCCCAGTGTTCTTGCCCGAGAATCCCATGGACAGAGGAGGCTGGTGGACTGCAGTCCATGGGGTTGCAAAGAGTTGGACACAACTGAGCAACTAACACGTTCGCTTTCTTCACTTACTTTCTTGCTCCCAGATCACCTGAAAAATCCTGAAGTTGGCCAAAGAGATTGGCAGATTCACAGACAAGTCTCCTAGACCACAATGATTTAGCATAATTGAAATGGAAAGATTTTCTATCTGGGCATGTATCTCCTGATGTCCTTCTTACTTCCTCTTTTCCTTCAAGGGAGCTGGCTTTGCTCATTTACATTGACCTGACTCCCTTGCAACATTCTCTGTGTGTGCTAAGTTGCTTCAGTTGTGTGTCTGACTCTTCGCAACCCTGCGGACTGTAGCCCGCCAGGCTCCTTTGTCCATGGGACTGTCCCGGCAAGAATTCTGGAGTGGGTTGCCGTGCCCTCTTCCATGGGATCTCTCTGACCCAGGGATGGAACCCTCATCTCTCACATCTCTAGCATTGGCAGACAAGTTCTTTGCCACTAGTGCCGCCTGGGAAGCCCAGCATACTGTGTACTTTTCATTATTTATGACTTATTTATCTTCTGCTTTCTCTGCTAGATGGTATGCTCAGCCCAATACCTAGCACACGGTAAGATATTTAATAATTCCTGACCTTCTGGGACAAGACAAAGCATAATAGCTCATCATCCGGCGGTTGTTGAAAGAACTGAGTGGTTGTAAACCCTGTCTTTGTATCCTGTAACAGACTTCGCCGTTTTTGGCCTGGATTCCCATTTTTCTCTGCTGGTTTTGTCATTCCTGGATTAGAAAAATCTGTTAGCTTTCTATTATGTATTTGCTGTAGCCCCTCTCTGTCCATTTTATATTTATTTCTTTTAATTATACATTAAGTGTTTGAATCCATATACTTTTGGGAGACGTCTTTAGGTATTTTTTCTGCTTTGCAAGAACGGAGCATTCATGTAGACCTGAGACCCCCCGTGTGTAAATATTGTTTTATCACTTAACCGATGTAAAGAAAAACACGCCTGCCATCTGAAGTTTTCCCTCACAATTTTAATTAACTCCCCTGAGCCCAGTGTGGGTTACTAAGAATAAGGGCCAGAATCCCCACGTCCCAGTCGAGGCACTTCTCAAAACAGCCTGGTTTTCTGGGCATCTTGCCTCGGTTCTTGCTGCAGAAGGATGCTGTGTGTAGCAGAGAGAGAGAGGGGTGGGATCTTGGTTGTGGGCTCTGTAGCGCCAGGGTGATGGCAGCCCTGGGCCATTGTGGAAGTGTTCCGGGGAGACCAGTCAAGAGTCCTGTTGCTGTTCCGGAGTGCACTTGGGGTTGAGAGCTGATTTTTAATTTTTAGGATTTTTTTTTTTTGACGTGGCCCATTTTTAAAGTCTTTTTGAATTTGTTACATATATGTGTGTATGTATGTGTGTGTGTGTATGTATATATATGTGTGTGGGGGGAGGGGTCCGTGTTGCATCTGGGATCTTAGTTTCCTGACCAGAGATTGAACCCCCATCTCCTGTATTGGAAGGTGAAGTCTTAACCTCTGGATCACTAGAGACATCCACAAGTTATTTTTTTCCACAAAATTCATAGCCTGGAGAAAGTGGTTGAAGATGCAGACCTATCAATCATATGTACGTGATAGTGAACTTGAAGCAGATAACTTCTCAGGCTTTATAGCTGTCACGTGGGGAGAAAGCCTAACACTCATGGGTGTGAGTTTTGGTAACACAGTGTATTTGCCTTGGGTTTGGTGCTTTTGGTGTATTGCATGCTTTAAGTACTTTATAAAAATTATAGTGGTTATTGAATTACATTTGATTCTTGCCACTTGCTTTACTTGTAAAAGATTATCCAATACTTGAAAATGAGGTGAAATACTGTTCCAGGAGTGATAACTTTAAGAAGTGTTGTATATTCAGTATTAAATGGGAATGGATATTTATTTTCCATTTCAACCATCTATTTTCATTTCCAGTTGTCTGTGGTTTGGAGTATTCTACCTTTTCATCCCTTTCCAAAAAGTTAATTTTTAATAGTTTTTATAAAACATGCAAAATTTGTTTCATTGGAGAAACCATCAAAGCTTAAGAGGAATTATTAATAGCTTCTCTACCTAGCACTTCTTCCCAGCATGTAGAGTTTTCTGGCAGATTGTCTAAATATCCAAATAAACTGAACTAAGAAAGATCAGCTTTTGGCTCTGAGGACCAACCCAAGGCTCTGAGAAAACACTGAGGAAACCCCCCAAACGGTTGACAGTGCTGGGATGGGATGAAAAATGACTCTGGTTTCATTCTGTCCATGCCTGGGTACCAGTAAATATTGCTAAGTCACTTCAGTTGTGTCCAACTCTTTGTGACCCCATGGACTGTAGCCCATCAGACTTTTCTGTCCGTGGAATTTCCCAGGCAAGAATACTAGAGTGGGTTGCCATTTCCTCCTCCAAGGGGTCTTCCCCACCGAGGGGTTGAACCCGTGTATGTCTGCTGCATTAACAGATGGGTTCTTTACCCCTAGAGCCAGCTGGGAAGCCAACAAACATGTATATCTTTTATAAATAAAAATGTAATCCTCACTGCCATCCCATGTCCATTGGATGTCTACTTTCAAAGAGAAAGAGAGGAAGAAAATGAAAAGTGTTGGTGAAGATATGGAGAAATTGGAACCCTGTGCAATGTTAGTAGGAATGCACAATGTTAAAAAGAATAAAATTACCATTTGACCCTCCTTGTGAGACAGAAAGGTTTCTCCCTAATTATAGAACACATCTGTACTCTAAGCCATTCTCTCATTCTCTGTGGAGAGCAAGTGTCCTAAGATTAAACGGCTTTGGCAGTAGGTAGAGTTCCTGAAGACCCCACAGATCAAGGCCTCAAGGCTGCCCCCTACCACTTCCAGATGACAGTCACGAGTCCAGGTTGTCATCTGTGCTTTTGGCTATAAATCAGGTGTTCCCATGACCCTGTCCTCAAGTTTGATAATTTGTTAGAATGGCTCACAGAACTCAGGAGAATAGTTTCCTCACTGTTGTTGATTTGTCTGTGTGTGTGCTCGGTCATGTCTGTCTATCTGTGACCCTGCAGGCTCTGCCTGCCAGGCTCCTCTGTCTATGGGATTTCCCAGGCAAGAACACTGGAATGGATTACTATTTCCTCCTCCAGGGGATCTTCCCAGTTTACAATAAAGGATATTTTAATGAGAACAGAAAAAACCCATGAAGAGATAATACAGGGCAAAGTATGGAGGAAGGGACTTGGAGCTTCCATTTCTGCTCTTGGGGTGCTCTCCCTTCTGTGTCTCCGTGGGCTTACCACCCTACAAACTTTCTTGAACCCCAGGGATTTTTATGCAGGCTTCATTTTGCAGGAATGATTGATTAAATCACTGGCTGTTGGTGTTTGAAGTCAACCTCCAGTCCCTCCCCACTCCTGGGAGGTGTATGGATGAGATGGAGCTGAAAATTCTAATCCCCTAATCACATGGTTGGTTCCCCAGGCAACCAGCCCACATCCTGAGGCTTTCCAGGAGCCTCAGCTCATTAGTATACAAAATGACACATCATTTTAAAGATTCCAAGTTTGTCCTTCCTGCCTGCCTCCCTTTCTCTGTTCCTCCCTTCCTTCTGCACCATGTGTCATGCGGGATCTTAGTTCCCCAACCTGGGATCGAACCAGTTCCCCTGGCTTCAGAACTTCAGGGTAGTCCTTCTAAGGGTTTTTGGAGCTATGTGCTGGAAAATGGGGTCAGAAATTAAACATATATTTATTATATCACATCCTACGACTCCACTTCTGACTATATACCCAAAAGAATTGAAAGCAGGATCTAGTAGCAGCATTATTTATAGTAACTAGGTGGAAACAAGCCATGCATTCATTGATGGATGCATGAATAGAAAAATGTGGTATATACATACGGTGGAATACTATTCAGCCTTCAAAGGGAAGGGAATTCTGACACACGCTACAGCATGGATGAAAATGGAGGATACTTGACCAAGTGAGATAAGCAAGTCACAAAAAGACAAATGCTGTATGAGTCCGCTTGTAAGAGTCACCTAGAATAATCAGGTTCCTCGAGACAACAGATAGAAGGGTGGTTGTCCAGAGCTGGGAGGGAGGGAAGTGGGGACTTGTTGTTTAATGGGTACCGAATTTTAGTTTTACAGAATGAAGAGTTCTGGAGTCTGGAGTCAATACTGCTGAACTGTGTCGTTAAAAATGGTGTAGATGTAAATTTTATGTTCTGTGTATTTTATTTTATCTCAATTGAAAATTTAAAAGAAACAATAACCACAATGAAACATTAGAAAGTAGCAAAGGAGGTTTGTTTTTAGCAGACAAGGAATAACCTGATCTCTTCCTGGTGTCTTGCAGGCCTGGTGTTTCCTTGACCATGCAGGCGTTTTCCGAAGAAGAGAGGATGCAGTGGTTGGAAGTTCTGGGTGGAAAAGAAGCTGTAAGATATAACCAGTGGTTGAGTTTTATTTCAAGTCCGTTAGAGCTGACTTCCGTTCATTTTCATGTTATTTTTGCTTTGTAGTATATGAAAAAAAGTTCCCTGATGAAGCTGGTGTCTGAATTCCTCCTGGAAGCATTTGGTAGTCTAGAAATTTGGTTTGAGGTAGCAGCGGCCCACTAGAGACTGGCATATCATTATTTTTTATTTTTCTTGACTTTGCCGCTCAGGTTCGCTTTGCTTGAGGAAGTCATCTAAATTCTCAATTTCTTCTTCCCTACCTGTGAAAGTACTTTGGGTGATGAACACAATAAATGCTTGCAATTCATTTTGATCTCAGTGGAGATGGAACGGTAAATGTGAGGCTGTGCAGGCAATATTACAAGTGACTGCTGTACTTATTTGCTTGATTTAACAATTCCTGGTTTAGCCTAATGAGCCACAGTGTGCGGTGTTAGGTAGCCTTAGTGAATGGGCCTCTGTGTTCAGATTGGTTTGAGGAGTAAATTAAAGGCAGTGATAGCAATCCAGAGGCATGGGACTTCAGTCTGTTTGCCACTTTATTCAGGCACTGCCTTCCTCTCAGAGGACTGGTGGCATCTGGGAGCTGAGAACTGGGCAGGTCACATATTGAATGGGGGACTTAGCAAGGATAATTATAGAAAACCCCATAGGACTGGTTTAAATCAACTCTACTTAAAGTATTGTGACTCATAACCAGCTGCCAATGCAGGTACCAGGTAGGCTTATGTGGCAAGCATTTGGCATTTCAGCAGGATTTAAAAAGAGGGATAGAGCACAGTAGAAGGGGGGTCATATATAGTGAAAAGAGTGGTGTCAGAAAAGAGCTTATGAGATGGGCAGAAGATAATGTTGTCTGATGGCAGTGGGCGGGCCCTGAGAATATAAGAAATAGGGCAAAGAGGATGGGCAGCAACGCATGTAGCAGTCTTGACGTGTTTGAAACACAGAAGCCCAAATTACGTATTTTAGAAATAGATCCTGTATAAGAAAATGTATCATCCTTGGAGGAAAAAAGCAGTGATCAGATATGTGTATCATTTTTTTATTCTTGATGTATATTTAGCTTCTGTGATTTTAGTTCTATTTATTCTTAATTTGTCCTTGAAATTTTTAGCTAGGAGTCAAGAATACTTTCAGCGTTGGTAGCTGCTGAGATCCAAAACAGTTTGTCCTAATCCTTTCTAGTAAAGGCACTGACCTAGACTTGTCCCCTCAGAGAGTCAAGAAATGCTTTGGAAAGTGAGTTTGCCTATTTGCATAGCAAAATGGTCATATGGCTAAGTCATGAGGAAATAAGTCTATTGCCAAAGGCAGTGTAACCTTGACACATACATCCTCTCCTTTAAAGTAAAAAGCCAGGTAATTAATTTGAGATATACAGATAAAGGCAAGTCTGCATAACGAAAATAAACATTCAGCTATGTATTTAGGTAAGGGCACTGAAGGCATTTCATAATTTTTTTCCGGTGACGTATGTGCCTTGAAGATAATGGGGCAGCGCTAGAATTCTCAGAGGCAGCCTGGGATCGTTACCTCAATATTTCAGATGTGGTTATTGAGATGATGGCAGGAATCGTGTCTTTAAGTAAACAGCAGATTTTAGCAATGGTGAATAAATGAGCTTCATCTTCCTAATTAGAATGCAGCAATTTGTTTGAGTATTTCAAATTTACATGAACTTTCAGTCCTTGCCGTTCATATTATCTTTGCTACTTTGGCAATGCCTTGGTGAGAGGCCAGGGAGACTCAGAGCTCTCCTTTTTGTTACCTGTCTTTGTCTTTGGGCCCATGATAGTGATTAACCAATGTCACTGTATTTTTTGGACAGTCCCTAGGTGTGCCTACTACAATAGAATCATTTTTTATGGATTTGCTGAAAATATTGTTTCCCCTTTTTCTCTTTTACTAGCTGTTCCCTAGTTTTAATAGAGCCATCATCCCAAGACCAGAAGGAAGTAAGTGCTAATGTATAAAAATGACTGTTGTCTCCCTTTCTCATGAGTTACTCTGTTTTTATTACTGATGTCAAACTGTTGCTGGGTGCTTGCTGTCTGTACTCTGTGTTAGTCTGCTGAATGGTAGATGTCTTATCCGCTGAGGCCCTTTTCAGACTTTTCTTGACTGCTGAAACTCACCTTGATCTTTCCCATCTCTGAGTCTTTTCCTTTCTAGTCTTCCTCTACGAAAACCAAAATACTCTATCATTGTTTCTATAGCCATAAATGAATACACAAGACTTTCAGGTATGCATCTGTAAGCTTCCTAAGTTGTAAACTCCCGTGGGTAGGAACTCTGCATCAGGTCCTCTGCTCCCAACCCCTCTCTCCTCCACACTTGGCATCCTTTATCCTTCCAGTCTGCCGGGCGTGGGCTGTACAAATAGTTTAGCTTTACACCTTAGAAAACAAACAACAGTCAAATGCATTCAGATATTCTAGGACAACGATCTTCCCTTGCATGGTATGTACTAGAGGAAAAGGAAATCCTCTCTGGCTCTGATTCTTGATTTTAACTGAGAGAAGACGAAGATGTGATCAAATTTGCTGGATTCCTTATGAATCTACTTTTCATTTCTTTGGAAGAATGAAGCTACATTTGTCAAATGTCCCTGGTTTGGAGACATGGTTAAATAAGCTATGATTTCAAAATGCTTATGGTGTGTGTATCAGTTATCCTGGCACTGGAAATGGACCAGGTGCCTCGCAAGGTTGTCAGTCATGGAAGCACCTGCTGAAGACTTCCCTCCTTCTTATCTTTCCCTTCTATTGTCCTTTCTTTTTCTTTCCTTTCTCCTCCTCCTTTCCCTTATCCCCTCTTGCTCTCCTCTCTTCCTTTCTTTTCTTGTTTTTACCTGAGAAATGAAAACATGTTTTGGAAAAGTAGTTTTGCTAAGCCAAAAGAAACACTTACATGTTATATAAATGTTGTGAATAGTAGATCCTTAAAAAAAAGTAAACCACTGCCTTCTTTTCCTCATTAAAATGCTCTCCAAGTTTAGCTTTAAACCTGCAAAGTTCATAAATTATTCCATGCTATCCCTTCTGAGAACCAAGGGTTAGTATTCCTGCTTCTGAGTTCTAAATACGGAATAAAGCATTCACTTTCCCTGAGTGCATTTTTGAAACAAGAATTGTCTTTTATTAGGGTCCTCAAATACATCAGCCTAATCAATGGCAAAGTATTCATGTTAGAAAAAATATAAAATTGTATTTTCAAAATAATCTTTTTTTTGTGACATGAATCTTCTTTTAAATTCATTATGAAAATAATAAAATATTAAACATTTAGAGTATGGTATAAAATGTGAAAAAAGTTTCTAGCTCATCGTTCAAATACTATTTTTAAGAGTGTCTAAGGATTTTTTCCTCCTGGGTTAAAAAAGAAAAGTTTTGTGTTACTTCCCCAGCTTGTTAAGTAATTTAAGAACTTTCACTCCTGTCTATAATTAAAAAACAAACCTAAGTTGTTGGAATTTAGGCAAAAACATTAACTATTTCTAGATAGCTTCCTCTAAAGATTAATTGTAATCACTTTCTTTTTCACTACTTAAACTATTATTTTTGTTAACAGCTAGTTTAATTGATAAATTTATTTATATATGTTGGTAATGTTAGTCATATATTGGTAATGTTAGTCATGTCCAACTCTTTGCGACCCCGTGGACTGTAGCTTGCCAGGCTTCACTGTCCATGGGGATTCTCCAGGCAAGAACACTGGAGTGGGTTGCCATGCCCTCCTCCAGGGGATCTTCCCTACCCAGGGATCAAACCCAGGTCTCCTTTCTGCAGGTGGATTCTTTACCTTCTGAGCCACCAAGGAAGTATCTGTTGTTAATGAAGGTCCTGATACTACAAATGCTCCTCTTCTGTGAAATTCTCATTTACATTATTTAAACAGGGAGTGCATGGCATTTAGTTTTCTTTTTTTGAAGAGGGAAATAAAAAGTATTTTGGACCTAAATAATTTTGTCTTATTTTTGTCAGCTAGAAAAATGTGAGTATTTGCACCTTTAATATTTTACAACTGTATTTCTTTTAGGTGCACAATTGGATAAGATGGGATTCACAATTCTTAGAAAATGCATCCGTGCAGTTGAAACACGAGGTAACTTGATTGAATTGTTTTATTCATGAGAGGCTATAGGTATGTAAAATCTTAGGGTCGTTTCAAATGCTTTTTGCTTGGTTAAGTAGAATGAAATATTTTAATGCAAAATACACCTTCTAGGTATCAGAGATTCAGTTATTCATTTACTGTGAGCGGGGTTAGGGGAGGAGGGTGGTGGGGGTTCCTTTTTATTTACACGTTTCGTCCTTGTGTTGAAACCTGAAGTCAGTAGAAGAATCAGCAGTGCTGGACTTGGACAATCAGGCTTAATTGCTTCTTGTTTACATGCTAGTAAGGTATTTCCATCTTCACTTGTCTTGTTAGCTTCCAGTTTAAAAATCAGCATCACTGAGATATCTTTTATGTATGGTAAAACTCATTGATTTTAGCTGTAAATTGATAACTTTTGATGAATGTGTTATAGTTGTGTAGCTATCACCACTATCATAGATTTCTGTCTCCCCCCAAAATTCCTCTGCGCCCCTTCTCAGCCTGCACTCCATCCTTGGCCCTTGGCAACTACTGAACTGCTTTTTATCACTTTAGTTCTTTTTATTTTTTTTGAACAGCCTTTTATATGAATGGAATTATGCAGTCTATACTCTTTGAGTCTGGCCTCTTGTTTAGCATAGTGCTGCCGAGATTCGTCTTACTGGGTGTCCTCTTGTGTGCTAGCATGCTTAGTTGCTTCAGTCGTGTCCCATGCTTTGCGACCCCATGGACTGCAGCCAGTCAGGCTCCTCCGTCCATAGGATTCTCCAGGCAAGAGTACTGGGGTGGGTTGCCATCTCCTTCTCCAGGGGATCTTCCTGGCCCAGGGACTGAGCCCACATCTCTTCCATCTCCTGCACTGGCCAGCAGGTTCTTTCCCACGAGCAACACTTAGCTGTACTCTTAGCGCTTTGTGTTATTGCCAGGCAGTATTTCATTTTATGGATATGCTGCATTTTGTTTATTCATCCACCTGTTGGTAATATTTGAATTCTTCCCACTTTAAACTTCAGGAAGGATAATCCCTCCCCGTTGTGGTCCCCTGACTTAAAAGTGCAAGGGTCTTTTCTTTCTAGTTTAAGGAAAAACAGGGCCTTGGCGCTTTGCAGCCATTGTGGCAGACTTTGGAGAAACTTAATACAATAAATTTGCAAAGCAGGCTGTTTCTGGGGGCTGGATTTCTCTTTGTTTAGAGTCTAGTGAAGTATGGATAAATTGAATATTTAATTCCCTCTCATATATTGTTTATCCCAGTCCTACTCTGAATGACTTGGTGGAATGAAGCATTGCACTCACGTTTTCTGTCAAAACAAGGTCTTTGTTATAAAGCCAGGACTGCCACCTGTGAAATGAGAGTGTTGGCTAACAGATGAATACGAGCTGTTTTATGATTTGGGGATTTGCCCATCGATAATAAAAACCCAAGCCACAGAAAGCTTTTCTTCCATTCTCCCTTAACAGTGGCAATTCAGGCGGTGACACATTTTCATTCATTTCAACCTGCACTGAGGTTGAGCTGACAAATTTCTTCTTTTTCCTAATGCTTCAAAAATTTCCAAAGTGGGGATATTGTGATTTTTCATATCTCTCACTTCATCATTCATGTTTCTCTTTTTCCTGAGCTTCTTAAGAGCCTTTATGGTATCACTTGCATGGTTATTTTTTTCTTTTAGTAAATACAGTTCTTTCCACAAAGGATATAATTTATATCTACTTGTCTCTGCCTGGGCAGATAAAAATCTATCTAGAATGCTTTCTGATTAATCTGTAGTTTTATGGAGTGTTACATTCATTGCCTTCCCAGGTGGCGCTAGTGGTAAAGACAGTGACTGCCAATGCGGGAGATGTAAAAGTCATGGGATTGATCCCTGGGTGGGGAAGATTCCTTGGAGGAGGGCTTGTCAGTCCATTCCAGTATTCTTGCCTGGAGAAGCCCATGGACAGAAGAGCCTGGCGGGCTACAGTCCATAGCGTTGCCCAGAGTCAGACATGACTGAAGCAACTTAGCATGCATGCACGTGTTCACTGAATGGAATATATATAGTAGAATCTGCATGTATTGAATGTATTTTATTATAAACATGTACATTTTTTATAGAAGAATGAGTCAATATCTTTTAAGTTAGATTTTTCCCATTTAAGATAAAAAACAAAAATGCATATATTTTACTTTTCAAATCTTTTGTCCCTCAAGGTCTTTCATTACTAAAGCCTTTTGTTTTTAATGGAGTAATAGGCTAAAAATAGAGTTAAAAGGATAAACTGTCAGATCATGTTACTCAGTATGATGAGGAACCTTGTGGAATCTCGGAGGTTTTTATCCTAAATTTGGAAGTTCCCTCAGGGAATATTGCTCTGAATGATTTCCGCTAAATCAGCTATCATGGCTATTGATTTTTTTTTGCTACCAATGTTGTTGCATTCCTTTTTTTCATCAGTTAGGATAAAGCTAGTTTATGTTCCTATAACAGGAAGCTGGAAATTCTCTGCGACTTAAGACAACAAGACTTAGTTCTCATTCAGACAGTTGGTAGGAGGGCTTCGCCCATCACTGCTACCAGGTTCCTTGTTGCCTTGCCTGAAGGACTTTGGACCATCAAGTGAATACTCTGGCTTTGATGTGAGTTTGGTTTGCTCACAGCTAATTGGTCAGAAATGATCGCATGGCCTCAGTCAACCCCAAAGAGTCTACATAGCACACCCCTACCAGGAGCCTGGAAAGCAGGCAGAGAGCCAGGAGTATCTGGTGGTAGCATTAATGACCACTGTGCATTCTTTGTGGATGTACATGCCTATGGTCCAGAGGGATTTAATGAGATCTGTTTGAAGAATTATTTGTATTCACATTTTTTCAGCATTTTAAACAAGACTATTATTTTCTCTGAAAACTGCCATATCATATGTTTGGGTTAAAGCAGTTAGTGTACCTTTTACCTAACATGTCTTTTAAAAATGACACCTGGCATTTTTATCAACTTTTGAAAGTCACTCGGTCGTGTCTGACCCTTTGCGACCCTGTGGACTGTATTCCTCCAGGCTCCTCTGTCCATGGGATTCTCCAGGCAAGAGTACAGGAGTGGGTAGCCATCCCTTCTCCTGGGGGTCCTCCTGACCCAGGGATTGAACTCAGGTCTACTGCATTACAGGACGATTCTTTACCAGCTGAGCCGTAGGGAAGTGGCATCAACTTAGTGTTATTTGAGTATGTACAAAGCATCAGACAAATGTCTAAAACTTACTGTAGTCCTCAGCCCCCTAAGAAAAGTTAACCTTTTTACTGATGTGTCTGTAACACATAGTGATGTAGATAACATATGTACTATGTGACTCATATGTAGTATAACATATAGTGTCCTAGATGGGACTGTTAGCGTTTACTGTCTTTTGGCATCCTAACAAACCCCATTTCACTGTAGTATCAGCATCAGTTAACAGATCCTACTGTTCGTTTTCGCAGAGTTGTTCATGAAGCTAAGGCAAATGAGAGAGTCAGATCAACGGATGTTTCATCCATTTACTAAGTATTTGTTAATGATCTTGTACCGGCTCTTAATGGATCCAGGTCATCTGATCGCTACTGGGAGGATATTGTTTATGTTTTCCAAGTTGAAGGACTTCCTGAAGCATCTGTTCTCAAACATTGCTGTGCCATGGAATCACCTGAGATCGTTAAATAATGCTGCTGCCTAGCTCTCACCCCCAGTCAGTCTGATTTCATTGCTGTTGGGTGTGAACTAGGAAGCTGGTGTTTTCAATGTTCCCCAGGTGATACTAATATGTAGTAAAATTTAGGAGTCTTGATGGAAGAGTTTCTTATGTATTGGAGCAATGGAATACACAGTTGTTATCTTCATAGTGTCCTGCTGCGTGGGGGACTTTCAACTTCTTTTTTAAAACAACCCAACCTAAACCCAGACAAACAACAGAAAACTTCCAAAGAAAATAGCTCCATGTTTCTTTCCTTCCCTCAGTAACAAGTGATTTGTCAGAGTTAAACTGTAGTTCTCATCTGAAGCCAGTATTTATGGAGCATTCGTGGGGTGAATATATCCTTGCTCTAGGCTTTTGGGATTCATATTAAAGGTTGGTTACATGTAATGCTCAATCCATGAATGATAGACAAAACATAGATATTTGTAAGTAATTTAAGTGTTTCAGCTACTAAAATGAAACTGTTACAAGATTGTGTGGACGAAGAGAATTTGAATATACAGATAGATTGCTGAGTGTGTGTCTGTGTGTTCAAGTTGCTACATCGACTCTTGTGACCCCATGGACTGCAGCACGCCAGGCTTTCCTGTCCTTCATTATCTCCTGGAGTTTGCTCAAATTGATGTCCAACCAATTTTGATGTTATAAACCATCTTATCCTCTGCCTCCCTCTTTTGCCTTCAGTTTTTCCCAGCATCAGGGTCTTTTCCAGTGATTCAGCTCTTTGCATCAGGTGGCCAAAATATTGGAACTTTAGCATCCATCCTTCCAGTGAATATTCAGGATTGATTTCCTTTAGGATTGACTGGTTTGATCTCCTTGCAGTCCAAGGGACCCTCAAGAGCTTTTTCCAGCACCACAATTTGAAAGCATCAGTTCTTCGGTGCTCAGCTTTCTTTACAGTCCAACTCTCACATCCACACATGACTACTGGAAAAGCCATAGCTTTTACTATATGGACCTTTGCTGGCAAAGTGATGTCTCAGCTGTCAAGGTTTGTCACAGTCTTCCTTCCAAGGAGCAAGTGTCTTTCAATTTCATGGCTGCAGTCACTGTCCACAGTGATTTTGGAACCCAGGAATGTAAAATCTGTCACTGCTACTTTTTCCCCTTCTGTTTACCGTGAAGTGATGGGACCAGATGTCATGATGTTAATTTTTTGATTTTTGAGTTTTAATTGAAGTGTGTTTTGGAACAGCCTTCTTTGGATTTAAAGGAGTAGAAAAGTATAGTTTAGCATTTAGAGAGACCTCACCAAAGACGTGGAGACAGAAAAAAGCTAAATGGAAAGGAAG